CTTCGTCTCCAGCATTTGAATATATTCTCCCTGGGATATCGTCGTCGCCAAAGCGATCTAATCTACGCTCGGCGCATTCCGGCGGAGACGAGATGGGGAACCAGCTCCAAGGTTTCTTCCAGGTTAACACTGAGTGTTCGACTCGGGGCCACTGTTGGAAATTGTTTAAACCTAGGAGACTCAGGCGTTGCTCTGATTTTACACTATCGACTCGTGTGGTGAACGACTGGAACTGCTTGCCTATTTCCGTCGTAAACGTGTATACGTTGGAATGTTTTAAATGATTGTTGGATTTATACTACTTGAATTTGCACGGAATCTTGTTGTCTCTTATGTAACTGTGATAATCTAACTTGTTAATTGTTGTTGCGCCAACACCTGCTATGATTGGGAGGTATGGAGCTGACAAAGGTCTTTCCTTCTGCTCTCTACATTACAATGACTACAACAATGATTTCTAATGACCTTGGATGTTGACCAGCCGACCTTATTTTGACTGCGTTTAGCGCACACCGTCCTTTTCAATTTGCTGCGATGGTGATGAAGGACTACCTCAGCGCAGATCAGAGAAAAACGAAGGAATCGGGTGCTGCTGAAGAAGATGTCAAAGGTAACAACCGTTTTCAGCTTATGTTTGCCAGCACTGAATGAAAGTGACATCGCATTATTAAAAACATACGTGAGTCGCGTTGTTGCTTGTCTTACAAACTAGGGCGCGGCTTCGTATAGCAAGGAAATTAAACAAAGCGAAGAAGATATCTAGACGTATATGAAAAGAGTTAATGAGCTTACAGGTTGTTTTTCTGTTCAAATCATCCTAACGTACTAAATGACGTCATTTTCAGGTATCAATGAGTCCGATACAGGCCTAGCGCCCCCTGCCCTTTGGGATTTGGCCGCCGACAAGAACTGTTTGACAAGTAACTGCTTCGAATTTCATGTATCTGTAGACGAACATCCTTTGCAGGTTGCCCGTTGTACGAAGATAATCAACGCTGATTCTGAGGAGCCCAAGTATATTATCAATGTCAAGCAATTCGCTAAGTTTGTTGTGGATCTTGCTGACACAGTGGCTCCGACTGATATCGAAGAAGGAATGCGCGTTGGTGTGGACCGAACAAAATATCAAATCCACATACCTCTGCCTCCCAAGATTGACCCAAGCGTCACCATGATGCAAGTGGAAGACAAACCCGACGTCACGATATAGCGATGTTGGCGGCTGCAAAGAGCAAATTGAGCGTCTACGGGAAGTTGTGGAGCTACCACTATTGCATGTAGGTTTTCCCCCTTACTGGAATTGATGCCACCATTAGTACTTCACGTTTCCGCCATTCCGATACATTACACCTGTATTGCCCCTCGTGCTGTCAAAGAAGCCTAATGGGTCAGTAGTTCGAGAAATGAAGGGCGGCGGAAGCAGTAGACAGTTTTCTCATCTTCCAACTGATCCGCACCACTAGTCTTTAGAAACCGAGCGTCATTGGTTATTGCGCACCATGAGCGTCATGATTCACACTAATGAGCGCCAACTAGCGCTTTGGGCGGAACACTTTTCCGATCAGTTGGCCGCTTGTTTCCAAACCCCTTCTTACTGAGGTGATGCACGCCAAGACGCGGACGGTGGCTGATGTCCGAAACACGATCACAGCTCTTAACCGTTTTCGATCTGCTGATCCGTATCCCTTCACGCGCACTATATATGCATGGTAGCGAGGTCCTCTGCAAAGCACTGACCTCACTTTTCGAACAGATCTGTAAAGAAGAGACCATTCCAACTAACGAATTCATAGCTTTTACATTGGCAATATACAAGAAGTGCAGTCGCACGGAATATGCTGACCATAGGGGCGTTAGTCTAACCCCAGTGCCAGAGGTGCTAATCTCAGTTCTCATTCGTCTCCTCACTGCGGAACGGAAATTCCGGATTAGAGAAGAGCAGGCAATTTTTCACTATGGACAAGGCTGTATATACCACATATTCACTCTGCGGCATGTGCTAAAGTGGCGGCACACACCCCAGACCGACATTAGCTGAGTTCTTCGACTTCAATGGTGTGTTCGTCTCACTTGATTGATCACTATAGTTTAGTATACTTTGCGGTAAGGTCTTCTCATAAATGGGTGAACATTTTATGTGCCCCGTACTCGAACACCACAGACTGTGTCAACCTTTGCGACGGCGTATCAGATATCTTCCTGATAATAAGTGGCGTTCGTCAGGGTTGCCTAATTTCCCCAATTTTGTTCAACTTCGCCGTGGACTCCGTCACTGAGGGTCCTCTTGCGCAGCTTACACTATGCAGTCGTTGAGGTGCTGTCTTGTGAAAAACTGCTCTTAATTTAGCGGACGATGTTGGGGCGGCTCAATCAACCCTGAATAACCTTTTTAGTCCCATTATTTGGCATGCGCTTTGCACCTTCAAATTGAAAAATACTGTTGCGGAACCACCAGCCACTTGATGACTATCGAAGGATTCGAGGTCGTTGATTACTTCACTTACCTTTGCAATTGTATTACTGTAGTCAGTTTACGTATTGACGAAACCAGATCAGCCTTCCTGTATCTGTGACCCTTGTGGCGTCAGAAGGGCGGTTCCCTAGGTCTGAAAGGCCGTGTTTACAAGGTCACTGTGAGGGCCTTTCTTTATGGGATTGAGGCTTTACCTCCTCGGTCCGAGGACTTGCGGCGAAATCACTTCTTTGATCATCGTTACTTGCGGAGCGTTGATAGTTTCGGATGGCATCGGCGTGTCCGCAACGATGATGTGCGTTGGCGAGTGTATGGCTAGTCCATTAAAATCGCAGATAGTACGTAATAAGTTGAGTTAACTTGAATCACGTACTCCATACGCCCGATCGTCGTTTATAAAAGACCGCGTCATTTTGTTTGCAAGATGTAGGGTGACGCTAGGCTCCAGGTAGGCAAAAGTTAACTCAGCAGCGGGAAATGAAATAAGTAGCTACGAAACTGGCTGCCGTTGGCCTGTGTCGCTTTCCAGAGTGGAGTCCACACGACCCGCGTTGTTGTTTTATCGAGAGGTAGCAGGACGGCCCGCAGTCGGTTTAAGTACATTGTCTGCTGTCGTCTCATAGATTGCTTGTTTAAATTGTTTGGTGCTGTTATCTGCGGGGTGGTGGCTGTTTATGACACGGTGCAGTAAGAGTCGCGAGGTGGCTGTCTCTCCGATGCCGTCTTATCTTTACACGATAGCCAGTTGTACGTGACTACGTTGTTGACAAGGTATAGGCGCCTTGATCATGATTATTTGCTTAGGGCACAAAGGTTTTACACCAGATCCCTTGTCTTACATTCTTATTATTTTTCACTTCGCAGGTTGTTGTGGTTGTACAGCAGCTAAATGTCAGTTAAGATGGCCGGTATACTGTTGCTTCTGTTGTGCTTTGCATGATACATGGAGTCCCGCAGTTTGCATGCGTCATCATTGAAACCAAGCTTAGTGGTTGGTTATAGGAACTATCCTGCCTACTTGGTCAAACCTTGTACTTTTCGCTCATCTTGTATGCCAGTCGCGAACCAGCCGTTTTTTGATCTCCATTATATTCATATATATGTATATATATATATATATATATATATATATATATAATATATATATAATATATATATATATATATATCATTGAGTACAGTCTAGATACAGAATTGCGTTGGATACGGATGCACCCACACACGCGATTATGATCCTAGTTGTTCATGGGGATGTAGAAACTGGTTCGATAGTTTGCGTTCCTCAGCGATCCTTTGAGCTATCTGGTCGGTGTTTTATACACTTTCAGAGCCACTTATACCAGATTCGTCAATGGTAACATTCCAGACAAACTGTCGCCTGATCCTCCAAGGTTAGGAGTGAACTTAGGGCACTCATGTTCCTTAGAAACGCCCACTGTTAAACTCCCACTACCCTTCGGTCAGGTTGTGAACCCTCATCGTTCTGTCAGGGTCTGGGCAACTTCACCATACTCTGTTCATGCAATACAATGACCTCTTAAAATATTTTTGTACTCTAGCCATCGCATGGGAAGATGATCAGCAGCGCTCTGTCTGCTGTATCGAATGGAATGGATAATGGTAAGGATGTTACTGCTCCAGCGTTCCAGTCTTCCTCCTTTCCATCACGATTTTTCATTGTCATAGTCTACAATCCAAATTCACTTTTGTCCCCCCTTCTTTCGAGCCTCCAATTCTTGGCCCTCCTGGCTCCGATGGTCGCTTGTCTTCTAATTTCAACTCACACTTGCGGATCATCGCCCATACTATATCGACAAGTTCATGTACAACCAAGCGGACAACATTAATTCATCCGCTCCTACTTGGAGCCATTGATTTCCCCTAAGATTAGCATGCCTGAAAGTACACTTTTTGCTGCAAATCGGTCAACAGACAGAATTTGCCCGAATATTAGTGATCCTGTCGATCGACATCTGCTGCATATATGTAACCAACTTGCAAGATTATTCACTCTAAGATGGCTTACATACTGCACTTTCTCATTGCGTTTAACGGGGGGTGATACAGCTTAAAATACCGGTCAAACCGGTGTGAGCCTTTTTCTGATCTTCCGGGATGAAGATGCTCTGGTAACCTAGATCACAGTCATTATCCCGATGCGTTCCATCAGATTGACTGGCTTGTTCAAAGCTTCCAAATTGAACTGGGGGAATGGTGCCTGTTTGTCATTGCTACATATGCCGCACAAACTGTAGCACTAACTCGGTGAAAAATAGCTTCTATCACCAACTGAACGATCACCTTCTTCACAGAAAATGTACTGGTACTGTGGTGCTAGCTGGTGATCTGCACGCCCAAGTTGGAAGACTGTCCGCTGATAAACTACATCTTTTTAGCCAATTTGGTGTAGTCTCCAGTAATGATCACGATGAGCGGTTGCTGCACCTATACGAAAGTGCTCGTCTATTTCTCGCCAGCAGTACTTTTTGACAGCACCCAACACACAGTGATATGGTGCCCATTAACCACTTACCATTGAAGCAGTATCCAAAACTGCTGCTCTATTTGGAGCAAGAGTGCGGATTCCATTCGCACACTCCTTTGTACTGACTTGCGGGTGCGTTTCGGCGGATGTCTGCGACGACGTTGTAAGCGCATTGATACCAGTCGACTGATGAAGCCAGATGTTCTGAATGCGTATCGTAGTACGCTGGCATCTTAACTGAGTAACCGTCCACTGAGCACGTTGGACGATCCTTAGTCGCATGTTCGTCAGACTTTATTAGCATCAGGCATATCTTCTTGTGGGAAATCAAAATGCCGACATGGATGCTGGTCGACGTGTTCCGGCTGGGAGCGATCGCAGTGAAACTCGCAAAGGCCTCAGGGAAAAGCTGTGGCAGGCTGAGGAGGGACCTGAGAGTCCGGTGGTCACATCGTGCAGCGGAGATGGAAACAGCCGCTGCCGTTGGTAACCATCATAGATTACGCGGCCTGATACGGGAATCGAATAACAGATGACCTACTTTTAGGGAAACCATACGTGATGAGAGTGCACAATCGATCCACAACTTGTCAAGACGCTTGAGGTGTTGGGTCAGACACTGAAAAGCAGTCGGACTTATCATCTTATTTACCGGTCATTGATCGCCCTTCTGTCTGCCGTCCAATTGGATCCATCCTAATGCGAATGTGAGATTCAGACTGCTAAAACTGCATAAGGCCGTAGGAGCAGATAGACTTCCTCCAACCCTCTACAAATTTTGGAACCCCTGTTTCTTTAAATAATTTGCACAACTGTAAAAGCAAGAGACTGTCCAAACAGACTGGGATCACTCCGTTATAGTCCTAATTTTCAAATGACACGTTCGGAATGCGGCAGTCAATCTGATCTCAATTGTCTCTATGTTATTTGTCTCTTTCGGCCTCCGTAGACTGACTGGCACCCGAGAAAGCCGGATTCGCGAGGAGCAAGCTGAGTTTCGTCGAAACCAAGGGAGTATTTACCACTGTTTCACATTGCGTCAGTTGATGGAACACCGCTAGACTTATTGCTGACCCACCGTAGTCGCGTTTCTCTACCTTGAAGGGACCTTCGGTTCTGTGAATCACTGTGTCCGCTCAGAAAAACTGCTCTATAAATATGTAAACATCATAAAAACGTGGTACACACGTAGTTCGAGCAGTGTGTTGGCTTATGGCATGCTATCGCCGCCCTCCAAACATCTCCAGAAGTGTGCGACCAAGTTGTCCGCTGCACCCTTCTGTTTTCGCTTGACCTTCGAGACTGCGTTCAGTGGATGCG